GGCCGCCCGTGCCTCAGGGGCGGTGCTGAGGCTGCGCCGCCGCCATCTTGGGTGCTGGCGCCCTGCCCCGTGGCCTGGGGGCTGCTGCATCCCTGCCGTTTCAGTCCCCGCTCCCCGCAGAGATTTATTTTATTTTCTTTTTCTTTCCTTCTTTCTTTTTTATTTTTTTAAGGCTGTGGAACCACAAATTTGTGACTTGATAGAGCTACACTTTGATACCTGCGCCCGTGTGATTCATGTGATTAACAGTTATCTGATCGGGACAAGGCTTCTAACCACTCACTGCCCGTTTTGTGATAAACAATTCTGATATTTGGTGGAGAAAAAAATATTTCCAAACTGCACAGAGAATCCCCTTGAGATATATGTCATCTCATGCTGTCAACACATTGGAATAAATGTTATTTTTTGATCTCGAGTAGGTGTACAGTCATTCTCCTAAAAAGCCTCCTTCCAAACTATTCCAGTCTGCCATTTGTTGAGTCCATTTGCATCTATCAGTATTTATCTGCATAGAGCAGATATTATTTATCACCATTTGCCATGTTTCAGGCATGCTTTATGGAAGCTCTTTTGTAGACAAACTTTTTTTTTTTCTCTTCATATTGATGGCAACTTCTGTTAGGACGGTGGGAGTTTTGCCTTTTAAAGAAAGAGGGGCTCAGGCTTAGAAACACACATGAGAAGCTCATCAGCTGCAACTTTTGATACGTTTTACCCTGGACTTTAGAATATACACAAAGATGATTCCAGTGGACACAGGCTTCCCTAGTAAGTTATAATGATCCATTTGCATGTGTAGTGATGAAGACAGAAAATTACTGTTTCACACATGAAGGAAGTGAGGCAACGGGCAGTCAGATGATTTAATCTGAGCTACCTCATGGATCTTGGAAGATACTGCTCTTTCTTTAATTTTATTTTAAATCTTAGCTAAACTTTTCAAACCTTCTAAACTTTAGCTGCAAAATCTATTGTAAAGTCACATGAATATATAATTCCTTAAACTGACACATTCACTGAATTATGCATTTTTACTTATCTTTTTATCTTGTGGTAAAAATGAAATCAAATGTTGTTTTTCAAACAGCCTCCAAGATTTTATAATAAAATCAATCATAGTGCAAGTGAAGCTCAATGTAGTGTATCATTTGGGTTATCTAGTAAGTACAAAACCTCACAGCAGCTTTACAGCTGACTACTGCAGGTCAAATCCCAGGTAGCCTCTGTGAAGTCCTTTTAAATCAACATGTCTTTTGGAGACACGGATCACAAGAGAATCTCCTGAGCAGGTCTTTTTATGGTAGTTGTCTTTCGTGATTTGGAAGTCAATAATAACATAAAAATCCATATATTCTCAGCAGTAGCATAGTAAGTAACTGTGGACATTGCCCTTGGCAAGGGGTTGTTTTGGGCTCGCGTGTTCCATGGCGTAACCTCCAGCTGCTCTATGGACAAGTTACCAGTTGTACATCCAAGTATTGGAAAGGGTTCGTCATGTGCATTTTCCAAGTAGCCTACAAATCCAGTTCGTCTTTTATAATCAGTGAAATTCCACGAAGAGGTTATACAAACAGAAAGCCGTCCTCACATGGGGCACAGCTCTGTTTTAAAAACAGCTTAGAAAAAATATAGTAGATATAAATAGCAGGAAATGGAAAGAGGATTACCAGGAAATCCTGAAAGAAGGACCTAGTTTGTTTTAATGGCTCCCAAGCATTTTTCTTTTCAGAGAAATGCTTGTGAATTCATGTCTATTAATATACTTGGAAGTAGGAGACAAAACAATAATACAAGTATTTACATAGGAAATGTCAAGGTAGATACACTGACAGCTAAAGAAGAAAAGCTGTTTTACGAGCAGGTCTACCAAAGAGAGCTGCTAAAGGTGCCCAGTTCCTCCTGAACTGGGTGAGCCAAACTGAGATGTTACAGAAGTCAGGCCCTTCCACCAAAGAAAAGTGAACACAGACGCAGGCAGAAGGCATCAGTAGATGGCAGCGATGTTCCATTTAAACGCCCACATCCCACAGCTCTGGGATAGAATTCCCCACAACACTAAAGTGTTTTTTGCTAACTCAAGCTCACTCGATTGAACTACATTCCTATATAATAAACACATAGCTTGGACTTGTATTTATACTGCAGTCACTTCGCTAAGCCTTGCTAGTGTCAGAGTAAGTAGCTGCGATGCTTACAGCAATATCTCTGCACCCAGTTCACCCCTTTCCAGTCTGCTGTCCTGTTTTATTGCAGACTCATTTCCATCATCTCCTCGACTTGCTGGTTGACAGCCAGCTTAGGTGTCAGCTGAGCCAGGATTTTTTTTTCTGCCTTCTAGTTACAGGTTTCATGCTATCATGGTTTTCTTTTACAACAGTGAGTGCTCACTGACTCAGAGACTGTAGAGACTAACAGAAAAGTAGAGATTTTCCCAAGTGAAATTCCAGGGTAATAAAAAGGCTCTATGAGTCAATGTCTTAGGAAAAACATTTAGTGTCTCAAGGTTCATGGTAAGATTGCAAAAAAAGGCAAGAGTGGAAATAAAAACAAAGGTGAAAGTTTGGGAAAAGGGAAGATAAAGGAAGTTAAAGCAGTGAACACAAAAGGGAAAAGACTCAGTCGCATGGGGAAAGTGAAGTTAGTAAAAAGAAAAGGCAGTTAGCGAGGAGACTGTCTGGGAGGACAGAAAGAGCAAAAGGAACTAAGGAGGTAGAAAGACATTGGAAGGGAAGAAGAAAGACAGGGTGATTTAGAAAGAAGTGTGAGACTTGCCATGTGAAAAAGAAGTACTAGCAAAGGGCATGTTTTTACCCCACTCGGTCTGTTGTTTCACACACAGGGGATTCAAGGTCAGTCCTGACCATCTGTAACTGCTCCATTGGTTTTACCGTTTGGAGGGACCAGGCCATCACTTGAGAGGTGAAGTTGTCCCATTATTACTGTTACATGATCAGCTGCCTTCCTGCAGAACCACCACCAGTCTCGATTTACTTGCTTCTTACTACTTGAGTACTGCTTTACACCTCGTCTCATTCTAAGTGTATCTTTAAATAAATAAACAAACTTGGTAGCTGGTACCCTGTTAATGAAATAGTGCCCTCTCCATATTGAGCATAAGGGATACCTCTAACTATCTGTCATGATATACTTAGGCTAACTTTCATTTTGCAAAAGATTTAACTGTTAAGAGCATTTGCTTATTTTAATAACCATACCTAGTTGCTTAGGAGAGTTCTCTTCTATGGCTCATGCAAACAGGATTAGTTTGTGTGCTTTAGAGATCTTATTTGCAATTTTGTATCCACAGGTTTCTTTATATGATGCCTCGACCCATAACTTGCTTTTTCAAACTATTTTCCTGCTTATTAATGAAAATTTTACAGTGTCTCCAATTTCTCTTTTTTGTCCT